AACCTGTCCCAGCTCTTGAACCCTGCCAGAGATACAGATGGGGGACATCAGAGAAAATGGCAATGAAGCTGGGCGAATTCAGCTTTTCTACCCTTTCCTCTTGTACAACTCCCTTCAGTGTCTCCTGTAGAGTGATGGGGAATAAACCTAAAACCTGTCTCAAAGGGAATCAACACATCTGGCAAGCAGAACAGACCCACGTCTTCAGCAACGTCCCACCCATTCAGAAAATCAGGCTAGATTTTCTTCTTGATATTTTGCATTGGAACCGTCCTATGCCCTCAAAACAGGGCAGCAACTGTTGAGTAATCTTCTATTGTCTTTCAATGATTTATTAAATACTTGCACAGCAACATACAGCACAGTATATCCAAGTCACTAATTCAAACAGTTTAAAAAAAGCCAAGCTTTAAAAAAATAGAAGATGAAACATCACTGAATCTCGAATGAGAGAAGCAGTGCCTGTGTTGATACACAGCTCCACTTGTGCCGTGTTCTTTGTGAACTGGAATGTTAAAACGATCAAAGGGTTTAGCAAATCAGAAGTCGCAGAGGTTAGTACTAAGTTAAAAAGAAACCCAGAGTCCAGGTGTCCTTGCAGAATGCATTTCCGAGAAGGAATCCTCCCTTCAAAGTGGGATGGAAGGGATCTGGGGCTGCAGCAAAAAGGGCTATGCAATAACCACAGAGAACAGAAATAGTAAACAGATTTAATAATGAATCTGAGCAAACTGTAGAGATTGGCAGATTGAATAGTACAACACGACCAGAGGGGCAAGAGTTTGTGAAAAAGCCCTGTAATATAGTGACCTTATGAAGCATGAAGCAATTATCAATTGTGTTATCTTAAAGACAAATTAAATCTTATTTTAAATAATTAAAATTAAGAATCACATCCTAATGCTTGTTATACAATGTTTAACCTCTGAAGAAAGATGTTTATGAACTATGTGTACAAAATTGAATCTGTCTTTGAAAGTGGCATTTTACTTGCTCTAGCACAAGCTTTTTATTCAATCAAGGGTAGAAAATCTGAGCCAGCTCTATGGAATCAGTGATGGTGACTTACTATCCAGGATTACACATAACTGAAAAAGACCAGAAAAAAAAATTAGAAGCTGAGAAACTTGCCATTTTAAAGGCAGAAACTAGTTAGTATAAGTCTGCAGAATTTGCAGTATTGGCCAGGCCAGGAAAGTACATCAATCAGTAGCACTCATACACAGTGACTGTAAGCTACCTCACCCTAAGCCCAAACCTGTCTTTTTTAAAAAAAAATTTCCTCTGGCGCATTTGGGAAGAGTATGGCATAACTATGGTCTCAGACTACCACCGAAAAATCCCTAGTCATGGAAAAAACCAGCAAAGAGCACATTGCAGTGACCTTCTGAATTATCTTTTAGCTGCTGTAAAATGCACAACCTCCGTATTGCTGCAAAATAGGATGATATTTTGTAATTCCGTACAATTTGCACCTCAAGTAGACACACTCAAAATAGAAGCTTCCAGTTCCAATGTCAGAAATACTATTTGATAACCAGTTCAGCATCATCTAAGGTTAAAAATAATAAATAAATAAAATCTATATTGCACATAAGAATTGCTAAGTTATTACAGTAACTGGATTTTCTTTAGCTTTTCCCCACCCAGGAGCTGAAATTTAGATTTAAGAAATACAGAAGAGTGCTGGTCCAGAACATTAAGTGCACAATATAAGGCAAAATTCCTGTTTCTTTCAAAACAAATTATATACATTGATTTGCAGGCATGAAATTACTAATTTCATATTCTTGAAACTGTTTAAAAATAGTAATGAAAGCCTGAAATGCTTCTGGGTTTGTAATCACGCGTTACACACGGACTCCCAGTTATGCCAGCCATCCTGGGGTGTTGTAAGATGGAAAGAAATAAAAACTGATGCAAAGTAACTAAAGTCAAGTGTGTCTACACATGTCAAATTTGTGATTCTAAAAATCTGACCAACATGGGCAAGTCTCCAGTTTACTCTAAGAGATCAGTCCTTCACTAAACACTTTCCCTTCAATCTAGCCTTCTTGTTACCACATTTCCTACCCTCAGCTGTTTGAAATGAGCCCCGAGCTGCCTTTCACATTACACACATGTACAGGCAGACAGCAGTCTGCACAAGGAAAGGTACAAAAAGGCATTCAAGCATTCTTCTACAATGAAAATTTTTTAAGTCAGGCTTGATTCCCCCCCTCCCCCCCAAATTAAATATCATCTTAAATTTTGGTATTTTTCCCATTTGATATCCTGCAGACTTTGTATATCCATCAAGGACTTACATAGCCATAAAGTCAGTAAATGCTGGAGACAGCCTCTTAGCCCAAATAAAAGCATAGGCATAAATCGTTGATTCCACAAATTACACCTGAAATGAAATCCCTGAGTTTTATTTCTGTGTAATGCTGTCTTGACGCCACATGCAGTATTTGCCCGATCCCCAAAAAAACCCATGCTCTTTCTTGTACATATGTATTAATCCATTCCAATATTCTTTTCTAAAAAGGAAAGCTCCTTTCTACTCCGCTCCATTTAGCAATCAGAAGAAAACAAAGATGCACAGAAATTTCAAGAAGAGAGAAAACCAGATTTGACATGCAAGTAATTATAGCTGTCCCAGTTCTACCCTGACAGCAGACCCTTCCAACCTGCTGTTCACTGCTATGCTGCACCAAAATCATCATCCTACTTGCTTCCATAAAAAACAAAGGCATCCTCTTTCCCACAGCACTTCTACTCTGTGCTGAGGTGAGGAACTTAAATTTCTAACACACTACAAGGACAGGAAGAGCAGAGTATGTGGAAAGCAATGGCAAAGGCAGCAGCAACCAGATTAACATGACATTCAGCGCTGGACAACTGTTTATCTCACTGCACTATAGACTGTATTTAAGAGAGAAACCACAGCCAAAAGATCACTGTAGCAAGAGAAGACAAGATACACAGAAATTGGTACACATTACTGCCATCACTATCATCACATTGTAAAGACATCAGTTTTCTGAGAAAGGATGCTGTTGAGTCCAAGATTCCTCACCTTCTGATGTCACTTCAAAATTCTCTCAACATCACCAGTAGGACTAAAGTATTATTTCACAGTATTTCAGACAAATCATTCCAACTCAAATCTCAAATCTACTATGCTCTAAAACAAAGCTCTTTATTTCCCAACTGAAAAAACCCTACTGTTCTGTTTGGTTGCACTGCATGGTTGTTTCCCTGTTTCCTTGCAAGGTCATTCCACTTCTCTCTCTTAAAAGTATCTCCCTCTGCACTGAAAAGGAAAAAAATACACAAAATTTCAGCCATTAATTTAAAAGAGGCATCAGGATGTTCCACACATCACCTCCAGCAAGAGCATTGTTCACAAAACACTCAAAAGAACTGCTACTTTACTGAACCTAAGTATATATTCTGTATGCCATGAGACAAATAGATTCATTCTCCCAACAGCATGAATGATTCAAAACAGGCTTTATTTATGTTTAACAGTGGAACTTCTGATCTGTTCATTACCATAATCCAGGGAAGACAAGCCTCATTTTAATAGAATTAGACAATCTCAAAAAGACACAAAGCTTTGCCAGTCCCAAGGGATGCTCAGTCTGCACTCATTTTATAGAGCCATCTGTGATGCTATTTGAGGAGTATACAGATATTTACCACTTCTCTGTCAGTGGCTTCTAATGTGTCCTGAGGTTTATTACAGCAGCACTTAGCAACTGTGTGTGATGTCCCAAAACCCAGGGTCTTCATTTTGTTATACTATTTCTATACTAGAGATTCCTTCTATAGAACTCAAAGTTGACTTAGTTAAATTAGACAGAGCCCTGAGTAATTCTGTCCCTAGCATAGCAAGGAGCCATTTCAAAATAAGCTCCTATGCAAGAGGTCCTTCAGTTCACACTTTGGTTTAATATTCACAGTACTACACAGACAGCAAACAGCCCAACTGGGTAATGATGCGTATTTTTCTTCTTAACCAACAACATTTAAAATATACATATTATATAAACCCACAAGAGAAGTTTTCATAAACAAAGTTGTCTGAGTTAAGGGTTAAGCGTCATAGGGTACACCTGGAAAATAAATGCCATCCCACTTGCTGGGCAGGAGTCTCGTTTTTCTATCTTGACTGCAGCATGATATCAAAGATATCAATGAATCCGTGGTTTAGTCACAACCCAACATTCCCCAGAGCGCTTAGGAAAAGCCCATATACAAAAATCTCAAACCCCACTCAAGCCTATCAAAGGCAGAGCCTGAAGTATCTGCAAAGTACCTAACTGTACAAGTTTTCTAATAATTAAAAGGCACAGCTTCTGCCACCATCATCAGGCACCACAACTCTTTCAAAAAGAAAGCTACAAAAATCTGCTTGTCTGAGAAACCAGTATCCAGTGCTCTGCGCAAGAGCACAGCTGGAAAATGCTGATGAGCTGTACTGCATGAGTATCTCTGTGAATCACACCTGGTCTTCCCTTTGTCTCTTTTTCCAAAAAGTCTTGCCTTTTGCACACCTGCCTTCTCCAGGTTGGTCTGCTCATGCTGGAGTGCTGCTTTCCCTGCCTTCTGGGAATATCTTTGGCAGGTGTCTGATTTGACATCTAAGAAGAACCAATCCCCATTATGCACAATCCTAGGAGTGGTGCATGCTTCTGCACAGCCCTAAGTCGTCACAGGGTTGAAAAATCTGAATTTTGTAATTCAGTACATTTCAAATATGTATAGGTATCACATACATGCAAATTCACTCATCCTTACCAATGAATCAAACTTTTCTCAGTAGCGTCCACCGTTAAAAGAGTAGCTGTTCATTACTGCTCACACCCATACTACTGAGGTAGAAAGTGGTATTTACAAAGTTCTCTGAAGTTTAAACATCTGATTTGAGAAGCCATCACAAAGGGCCTTAAAAAAGCATCATTTTTATTCCAGTGAATGTTAGGACAAAAAAAAAAAAAAGAAATTCATTTTAGTAACTTTAATACTTTGGCCCTTTCCCATAAGAACTGATCTTCCAGAAAGCTGAATTTAGGTTTTGGGAATTCTTCCTCTCTAACAACAGATTGAAATTAGTTTGAACTGAAGGGCAATTTCTTTAATACCTGTCCAACACACATTTGACCTTCTCTCCTATGAAAAGCTTGAAAGTTTCTCTTATCTGAGAATGGGGCATTTAAGCTGGATTTCATCTTTCGGCTGCCAAGGTTTATGAAATAAACATGAAAATAAAAAGTGACTTGCCTCACAATTAACAAGAAAAAACCCTAAGGCTCCAAATCAAAGCATCAGACAGCTACAATATTTAGCATTTATAGAGTGCTCTTCCTGCCGAATGATCTAATGACATCTTTCAGGTCTGTGTGGAAATCATCGCAGCATTTTAACGATATCTTTACAGAGAATTTTAGACAGGTGATAGATTCTGTATTTTAATTAAAGCTGCAGGAGAGTTGAGGTCATCAGAACGATAGTGATCTAATTTAAGAAAAACACTGCCCTTAAAGCGTGCTGTACACACAGGCTGCACTGGCTTAGTGTTAGTATTATTTCATATTGAGTTTGTTAGACCTGCAACTTTTTCACCAGCATTCTAATAACCCTGCTCTGTTTAGATGGTACCATACACAAGGACAGCAACCCGATTATCTGCTATTAATTCATACCATTAGAAAACAGCTCAATGAAGATCAGGTTTTCTGATACTCAAAGATCAATACACATTAGTTTGTACATTTGGTCTTTCGCAGGGTATCAAGCTTGCTTTTAGAACGTATTTTCAGATAGGTAGAGGGACATGTAAAAAACCTCTGAAAAACGGATCTGCATCAGAAAATGGCTGATTAGTCAAAACAAATTATTGAAAACAGTTTCCCATGTTGTCTGGAAACAGGTGACACTTAAACATCTCATTTCCTCAAATATTAGCATGAATTTTAAACATCTAGCAAAACCAGCCCAGTTTTGTGTAGTGGAAGCAATGTACTATATGTTTCCCAAGAAAGTTTGCAATATGATCATGAAACAAAGTGTATATGTGAATGACTGAGATGCATAAATTAAAAAAAAAAATCACAGATACAGTAGCACAAATTAGGTTTTGCATTGTTTCAATTAAGCATGTCGCTCACTACACTTAAAAGATATCAGTGCACTTCTGAAAAGCAAATCTTAGTAGCAAGGGATACTGCCAAGTATCAGTTAAATATTGGGCTGAAAGCAGCAAACAAAGTAAAAAAATGTTACATCTGATTTAGATATAATATTATATTAAAATTCCAAGCATAATCACTGTAACATTTCAATTTTAAAGCACATACAAATTTATATTTGAGCGCACGCTCCCAGACTTGACTGCAAATGCTAACCACTATGGCTTTGGAAAATGCAGTGGATTAATACAGGCCATCCTCCACAGACTTCCGTAAAATTAAAAGTTACCATGTATTTACTCTTTGTTTTCAACCATCTTATTTCCTTGAAATTGATTATTTTTTTTTTTTTGGTCAAGTAGAATGAATCATCATTTGCAAGGGGGAAAAAAAAAGGATGCAGCAGCACAGTCATTCACATAAATAAGTTAATCGTACAGATCACAGGCAAAATACAACATTTTCAGCAATTAAAAAGTCCAGAATGTCAGGACATCTGGATCTCACTGATCTGTGAGTGAAACAAATCACCCAGTCATTAGCCTACCTTTAAAAAACCCACAATTCCTAGCATTTAAAAATTACTATTCCAGAAAATTTGCATGTTTTAAAACGCAACCTTCATTCAACAGCAAGTTTCGGCTCGAAAGTATCCCTTAAGAGCAAAGAGTGTGTTTGGTTTCTCGGCTTAAGTAATGATTTTTTTTTTTTTAATATGGCTGTGTTTATATACATATGCACACATGCACTTATACAGGCAGACACACATGTTTACTTCATGTTTGATGATAAAGGTGAAGACATTGGATATTACGCACCAATACACAAGACACGTCTTTGGAATTTTTTTGTGGAAGCCCTTTAATTAACTGCAAATACTATCCAAACTTCTCTATGCATTTGCAGTATTTCCAGAAAGAAGCTGCATGTCAGCAACTTGAACTTGTTTCCTCTCCACCCATTCACACGGCAGCACCGTACTTCAAGGCCTAAAAAGCAAGGCAAGAAGCCATGCTTCAGGAGAAGCACTCACCTAGCTCACCCGCTGCATTTCGACCACCGACTGCGTACAAATGTCCTTTGAGGGCACTTAGGTGGAAGAAGGTGCGCTTCTCATTTAAAGATGCAACTTGCATCCACTTGTTGTAGCGAGGATCAAACCTAAAGACCGTGTCAACCGCCGTCTTTCCCTTCGTGTCGTAATTGCTCTGGCCCCCAACTACGTAAAGAAAGTTTCCAATCACGGCAATGCCATGCTGGTACCTTGGCGCATCCATTGGAGCTAAGGATTTCCATTCGTGGGCCTTTTCGTCATACATCCGTAACTCCTTGCTAACAACCAGCTGCTGCCTCAGCACTCCCCCCAATGTCACCAAGTGAGTACTGTCCGACCGAATGGCAGTCCTCTCTGACTGCATAACCGGCTGCATGTATGGCATCATTTGGTAATTGCTGGCTTCCAAAAGCAAGTTTACACAGGTATTGTCAGTTCTCATGAAGTCCACTGTTTGAACATAGTTAATAAGATCCTGGGGTGTCATCAGTGGAAACCTGATGTTCTTCATTAGCTTTGCAGCACACTCCATCCGAGGCTCCTCATACCGTAGCCAGCGACAAGCTGCCTTGAAGAGCTCAAGTTCAGTGCAGTGCTTAAGGCTATTACTTGAAAGCACAAAGGCAAGACGTTCAAAAGGGAGTTTCACAAATTCACCAGTACTTAATAGTGCAGGAAAGTTCTTCAGGATGAAATTATTTACATATTTATCTACTTCTGTGAGATTGTATGTGTTTGCAATTCGCCCAACCTCGACACAGTTTTCCAATGAAACCTATTAAGTAAACAGAAAGAGGAATCAAAACACTTTCTTAATTTGGTGTCTAAATGATAATGTAGTATTTAATGAATACTATAGAATGAGCAATATTTCATCATTTCTCAACGCTCAAGGTGATTTACACATGAGCAAATAAATATTCAACGCAATGTATATATTCATGACTGCAAGGGAAGACCCAATTTATTCCTTATTTTGAAGAAAGAAATGAGACAAGTAACAAGCAGATGGCATATATTATGTCAAATACATTATACAATGATGATACATAATAATCATACAGCTCTTCATCTTTGAAAAGCTCTGCAAACATCTTTGTAAGAAAGACATGGGGAAAACACAGTTAAGGGAGAGATGATCAGCCCAAGGTTACAGAGCATAATGCAAAAGTTAGGTCTCGCCATTGGACGTTTTCTAACATTATTAAAATTGTCTTGTCATAATGCAGCCAAAGTGAACGGCACAGCTACCTCTCCAATGCCACATATTTCAGACGAGTTATTTACAGTGCTGAAGTCCATGAATACATTCCTTAGAAACAAACAAAATTGTACCTTCAGTAAATCAAGGTGGCACTCTTGCAGAATATGTTTGAGATTAAATACATGTCAAAAATAAGACAAAGGTAGTGATTTTATTTTAGAGATATATATAGACAGATACATGATTTTTTTAAAAAATAATGAACCTAGGAGGATTTCCCCCAGAAATACCCAGCACATTAAATGCTTTAGCAGTATGGATCATACCCTAATTTAATTCAATACTTGAGCAACTATATCGTGCTAACTATCCCGTTTAACACTGTTGCTGCATCTACCTTCCTTAAATCTTTAGCTCCTAAATTCCTGAGGTCACTTGGGATCCGAGGCAGAGGGAGGAAGAAAGACGGCAAGGATGGGACATAACTTAAGACAGGTCTCCAGTGAACCCAGCTAACTCATTTCAGCAAGCTCTATGGTACATACGCAAAGCAAGTCAATTTTCAAATGCTTCTTGCCGAGAATTGCAGCTTTATTGCGTTCAATCCTTATTCTAACCCAAGCTTCATTTACACATGCTTTCTAGTCTCTATGCATGTCAGTCCTACACAATGTTAACAATTTCCACAATTTTGTGATTCTCATTATATTTGTAATGCCAAAAAAATTTAAGCTTTTGAATCTCATGGTTATTTTTAAAAAGATTATAAAGATTGAGGACTATGACCTGATTGAAGCCTAAGAGTTCAAAAACCTTTAAATGACCTTCTGGTCATGACAGATAATAAGATTTTAATACTGTATAATTCAATCTGATCATTGTCCCTTAATACTAGACAATTCAAAAGTCTAATGAGTACGGGAATAGGAGATGATTTTTTAATTCACTAAAAACTGATCTAACTTGCCCTAGAGTTAAGATCTGCAGTCATCTAAAGTCTTCATTCACACATCCTGAAACGCCTTCATACAGTCAAAGGTTGCAAATCTTATTCTTCATCTCCAGGAACACTAATCCTCTACTCAGGGCCTATAAGATGAATGTGTGGCAGACTGTCAGGAGTTCTATTACAAAAATATCCGTGGAATATATACATGGAAATATTTTTTGTATTACAGAACAGACCACATTGTTCATATCAAAATATAATCACATCAGCTAGCAATGACCTATAAAACACACTCTGATGATTAAAACCCATATTTTTTTCCTTTTTTTTTTGACTGTTTTTAAGAGTCAGTATCAAACTAATTTCTGTACATTTCCTTTTAGGATTTTTAATTTACATGAATTAATTGCATAAGAAACAGCATACCTTAAATTACGTAAATGAAACAGGACATTCTTACTTCTAAAATTTCTATCAAGTTGTATAATAAAAATAAAGCAATGGAAAAATCACCCCTTAAACAGCTGACTTGCAGTATACAACAAACTTTAACTCTTGCTATACAGTTATTGTATTTAAAAACTACTTCAGAATACATTTACTGGCATCAAACTACAAAGATACAGCACTTTCTCCATATCAAAGTAGGCAAACAGAAAGATATTATTGGATACAGAAAAGGCATGCTTGAATTTAAAAGATCAAAGCAAGAAAGGTACAGATATATACCATTGGTACATGGTGTTCAGGTTGCAAAGAAGCATTTAGACCCACTGCAGAATGCGTGCCAGTTATCAAGTGCCCAGCATGCATCCAGGTGATGTATTATCACAATTATGTTACACCGTAAATCTATGCAACGGAATATATTCCTGGAATGCTTACATTTGAGGAATATATTGACACATTACACATTGTTAATGACTGATGAATATGACATCGTCAGTTTTCAGTTGCCCCTTAATTCCTGGGAAATTTATCTTACACTGCTTTAATTAATCCACTGGGTCATACTGCACTCAAGGTGGGGGTTTTTCTCCATACTATGATTGCACCCCATTATGCTTATGAAATTGTGCACTTTGTTTGGCTCGCTAACAAATTACACTACTTACCTCAAATCAGGGTACCATATTAAATATTTTCTTAAAGGTTACTTTCCTCGGCAAAAGTACTATTACCAATTTTACTGTGCTCCAAGATAACAATGTACCAAGCTAAATTATATTGCAAAGATTTAAGTCATAAAAATACATACTCTAGAGATACTTAAGTCCTGAGTCAAAAAATAATCCTTCGAAAGAATGAAATGCAGTACTTCCACTTAAATACTCAAAATTGGACAGTATTAAAAGTAATACTATTTAAACACTTAAGTATCTAAGTTACTGCAGTGTTGATTTTTAAAAAAAACAGTTTGATTTATGCTATGGTATTTATGAGAGGCACGGAAATGGTTCTCTATGGAAGTCAGTCAATCAGGAGCTCATTAGCAAAGAGAAGGAACTGCTACTTCTGAAAATCCCACTGAAGTGGATGGGAGGAATGGAAATCAGACAAAAAGATAAGACTGGCTGTACAGTGAATCCAGTAACTAGTAAAGATACTCACACAGAAAAAGCTAAAAGCTGTAACTGATTAAACAGCTAAGTAACTTCATAAGAAGTCAAGAATTTTAAATAAATCCTATTTTACTTGGGCTTTGACTACTGAGCAAAGCTGCTCATTCACATTATTTACTGTAATTGCTCATTACAAAACGTAAGTAGAAGTTCCAGAAAACACTAAAAAGCTTTTCAAAATAGAAAGGTCATGCACAGCCTGAAAAACCAAATGCAGAAGCCAAAGTACTTTCTTGGGAAAGCAGTTGACTTTGAAATTTTGAAGCAACCACTTCCCAAGCCCTGGTAAAAACTTAATTGACCATCCACTACTACAAAACTGGACACAGAGCAAAATGATTTCAAGCATGAGAACCCTGGAGAACAACTCAGGAGAAATAACATCCACAGAAAATTTCTCCAGAGTCCTCCAGCCCAGTACCACAAAACATTTAGTTACCCAACTTTCTTTTTTTTTTTTTTTTTCGATGACTTAAGACATTGAAGCACTTAACATGGTGTTTCAAAGGGTCTAAGTTTAAAAGAGCTTACACTCCCCCAAAATCCCCTGCATGGCTCCCATGCACAGAAGTTCAGGAATAACGGCACAGAGATTTGTCCAGCTCGGAAAACAGAACCATCACACCCCCACGTTAGAAAAGGTGAATTTCTGCTGGCTGGCAGAGCTGGCCCCAGCTTAGATCCCACACTCCCACAAATCTGAGACCATCTTGCTCCATCTGCAGTTAACCAAGTTCTTGCGACAAGACAGACTTCCAAATATCGAGATGTCAATATTTGACAATTTGCCAGTCATTACAAAAATGTAAAGCACAGAATTATAGCAGGAATAAAGTTTTCTTACGCAGGTTATATATAAACGGTACAGACATTATACGTGCAGGTTATTTATATGAAAGGTACAGCCAAGACATTAATTTTCAGTGTTTCAGGATGCTTGCTTTAATCACAGTATAACATCCCATTCCCCATTACACTGTGATTTTCCAGTTTACTTGGATAAGTTCCTCATTGTTCACCATTTTGTACACTGCTGCTACTTTTGCAAAAACAGCGTGTTCCATAGCACTCACTACTCCAAAAACACTTCTGTGGCACTTTCATTAACTATGTTATGGCTCATTTAGATGTGAACCTGGGAGCAGCCCTAGTCTATCGTATAGCTATAAATATATAAAACCAATACTAGAAGCAAGACTGAAAACATCCTAGGAAGTATCCCAGTGTTTCTCTGGGAGTCTGTTCGGCTTCAGAGCAAAGACTATCAGAGCAATGGGCTACTTGACAGGAAGGGTGCAAATGCTGAACAAGTAAAAGAACACTTACAAGTCAGCTACAACATATACCATTCTTTGAAGCTCTCACTATTTTTTAGACAAATTAAGCTGTTACCTTGCACTTACGGTTTTCTTTGTAAATATTTCCAATACCCTCTTATGAAGTAACAGTTACATTATGCTTTACATAAACTGACTTCTATAATCTCTTTAATAGTAGACTCCCTAGACAATTCAAAGACAATTAAGTATTTGTCTAGGAATGTTTACATCAGCTCTCAGATGCTGCTCAGTCAGCTAATTTCAATAGAAATAACATCAAGACTTGCTTTGAAAACTCATTTAAATCTCAGAAATGCCCGTTCAAAAAACAGAGTGAAACTAATATAATGAGGAATAATCTTTGTAAAGCTGATACGGTAATTAAAGCAAAAAAAAACAACCACTAACCCATTTGCTCAACAACTCTTCTTCCTGTCCCAACAAATTCAAAAACTCTTTATACAGGGATGTTGAGAACATAACTAGGCTAACAGCAGAAACTTAGTTTTGTACTTTCTCTTCAGGTATACAATGAATGAGATTATGTCCCCTTAGACATGGGTATAAATGAAAGTATTTCAGAAGAGAGAATTGATAAAATTAAGAGAATGAAAAAGGCTTCCTGATTCTTTTAAAATGTGGTATCAAACAAGACATTTGTTACTTGAACCAAAACAGTGATTGAGTCAACATCGTAAGTGAAGGAACTTTCAGAAAACAAGCATTTTAAATAATGAAAAAATTATTTGAAATAATAGTATTTAAGATGAAAGAAGCTTTTTCCCTAAGGAAACAAAACAAGCAACTGTCCTACCCAGAAAGGGGAATGGGCAACACTGTGTCCTTGTGGCTCACCTCCTGTCAAAGAGAGGCCGCTCCAAATCCCTGATTCAAAAGAATACCAAGACCTTATTCCAAGTTGGCATTTATAGCAAGATCAACCCTGGAGAGGCAAACTGCATCATTTTGGAAGGTAAAAAAACCCCAAGCAACATAAAATACATGGTGTAGGATTTGAGAGTATTAAGTTTCATGAAACATTATTGCAACATTTTCAGAGAACTGGCCAATTAGAAAATATGTCAAAATTAAAAGCCGAACAGTAGTGTTAGAGCCTAAGTGCCTCTAACACTTTCCTTATGAAACAGATAGCTGTTATTAGCAGCTTGGAGTCCTCTTGTTTGCATAAATCCTGGTACATATCTTCATTAGAGAGGTCACATTTCTGAGCCTGTACTCTGGGGAGCAGAGGGAATATCTGCTTCTTTATTTCTCACTACAGACTATCAGAAAGTTGAATTCCAAATATTATAATTCATGTAGAACACACCAGTTTCCCATTACAGGTAAAGTGAGATTTCTAGTAAAGTATATAAGCAATTAACATCAGAAAACGTCCAGGAAGCATTAGAAATTATGCCGAAGTGTGTCTCTAGGCAGAACTGCTTTGACAGCACAGGTCTTACAGCTCTCATTCTACGACACCACAAAGTAGGTGCTCCTTGTTGTTGACAGGACAAAGAGTTATATTAATCCAAGACAGCAGGGCAAGAACCAGGAAGGTTATTGAAGCATCATATATTGGCATTCATTAAGTACTGTGTTTAAGTTAGAAACGAGATAACTGCACCCATATTCTGAGATTGCACTGTTAACTACAGAAATAAAATGAACATAACTGAAGCATACAAAACGTATGCAGTAAATTGACTGTAGCACTAGAATGAGTGCAGTCATGCAGCGAGACCTGAAACCTCTGATATCCGAGATATTAGTATTAAGGGATGTTCAAAAAACCAAAACTTCCGAAAAACAACCCAAGATAACAGAGTGTGCATGTGAGCTATGCTTAATAAAAACCAAGATTAAACAGATGAGTATAAATCCAATGCTTTTAACCAGAGGTTGGGGCCAGATGCATGGAGGGTTTTCATGTCACATCTCTCTCCTTACCTGCCTTTTCCCACCCATGAAGACAGAACCCAGGAAAAAGCCTACACAAGAAGCCAGTGATCACTTAAGTTGAATCTTTAACAGCTCTCTTGCTTTTGCAAAAACAGACGTGTGTTTTTAATACAGAGAAAACTGCAAAACTGTCTGACATTCAACTTGGAGTATGGCATGCTTCTCCAAAGCACAGCCTCAAAACAAAACAGGATACCAAGTCTGAAAAAGGCAAGGAAAGGAGGAGGAAAAAAGGTTGTTATCGAAGTTCCCCCTCCTCTGAGAGTGGGTTCAGGACCTGAGGTTTTAATCTCTGTAATAAATAAAAACCATCAGGGCAACTCTAAGCCATAAATAGACTGTACTGCAGTGGAGCTACAGTACTGCTTTGCAGGGCAAACTTTTCATTTGTTTCAATTACACAAAAGCAACTGTGCTACAAAAGTATTATTCTTTTAACGAACCATTATTGGCAGAAGAGGAGTCAGCTGCTATTCTGGGGGCTGTCCCCTGCTTACAGAAGCACTTATGTTGGTGATTCTGAGAGAATATTTCCCAGTAGGCATTCAAAACCATTTTTAGTTCTAGTAAAATATGGCAAACAACGTAAAATCCTTGTAGCTACTTTTCTCCTATAACCAATATTTCTGTAACATGCCTATTAGTAATCCCTTTAGAGGATGTATTATTCTAAGGACTGTGACCAAGTTCACTGCTTTACAAACAAGATGTAGTGATGATCACAGCGACCATTACAATTGTGGGCTTCATTCCTCAAAACAAAAAGTATATTAACAGACAGCAACAGCAGTTCACTCTATTATTATTTTTTTTCTTTTAACTCACCAAGTAGCTTTCTTATGGAAGGATATAGAGTGCGAGAGCACCAACTAAGAAATCTCGGAACTATGATTATCATCACACTTCGGAATTAGAACTCTAATGAGGTATAACATTTAAATCAAACTCACGCTGTACGTAATACTAAGAAAAAAGATTTTCAAGAAAACTACAAGACAAGTTTCTTCTCTGTGAATCCAAATTAGGAATAACAGCAAGTTTTAGACTTAATCTTGACTATTACATAGTAACTGCACTTATACCAAAAAACCCCAAACCAATACCAAGGCCTTAATCATTGTAAATATGAAACAAGTAGCAAGCCTTACCCCAGAGATAAGAAACACCTTACAGAAGTCCAAAACAGGTAAAATCTGCAAAAAACTGGCAGCTTCCAGGGTGTCCTGAAGGTTGTCCATGTTCAGGGAAAGTTTCGCAGTATAAATGAAATCAATGATCTTCTTTAGGCCTATTTTGTTCACACCATGAAGCTTAATGCACATTAAATCCTGTTCCTTCATTCCTCCTGAAAAAGACATAGGTAACTTTATGTGATTATTTTGATTGGGTTGAAATAATTTCATAAACTTATACAAAATAAAGATACAATTTTAAAGTCTAATTTAAAAAAATGTGCAATAGTAGAGAGAGTACAACTACACTGAGTTGTTTGCAGTCCTGGGCTGACTGACACACAACACATGTCTGAGTGTCCAAACAATGGCAATTCAAGAGCAGCACACATTACTTCAACAAAAACACCACCTGTGAACATAGCCTTGAAGTAATCACTTGCAGAAGCCATCATTGCTCTGTGAACAGGAAAGACTTCATCACCATCTCCCGGAACAAGCGTCACATCACAAAGCAAACCTTCCACTCGCAGTTGGTCAAAACCCTGCAAGAACAGCAAAATGCAAAGTATCCATTTGATTTGCGAGGAGAGCAGGAATCTTTTTTGTTTCCCTCCTGTAAATACTTATTTTTATGTACTTATGTACTGTTGTTTCAAAAAGTCACTACGAAATAATCTGCTATCTTGCAACCGTTATCTCCAATATATTCACTGATAACTATTCATTGGAAAACAAGCAGAATAATGATTATTTTCCAGAAACAGCTGAAGAATGCAAACTACACTGGGCCTTAGAAAGTAGCTTTATTCCACTAATTAATTTATTTTCAGGAAGGAGTTTGTTTTGTAAGCTTGCACTCCAGCAATTGTTTCAGGTAGGGACTGGTATCTTTTTTGGACCTACCCTTTCTGGACATATATGCATCCTAGATAAAATATTTCTGTTCCACACCAGTTTAAATGCTTTGCAGCCTAAGAGGCTGCAAAATACTGGGGCCTGAAATGAAATCTGTCACCTGGATCCATGATTATCAAATCTATCACCAGAGTTTACATGGCAAAAACTCTAAAACAAGCTCATTTTATAAATCTGATCTTTTCTGAATTACTTATAATGGCTAAATGTAACAAAAAAGAAAGTAATTTACAACAGCATCCTAGAGTAAGATTTTCCTCTAAAGATATGCCCGGTTGGGAATACTGGAGGATAGGTGGAATACTCGCTTCCTTCATGCACTGCAGAACAGAAGCTCAAACATAAAACAATTGCCTTCAACCCAGCACCTCTGATGTTTTTCTAGTACTAACAAGAAGGTAAAATATTGTCTTTATAGATTTAACACTTATAAAGTCTTGGCATCAGCCCTCATGGTTTAAAGTGAGTGCAAACGAAAAAAATTATTTACTACCTCAAATAAATCAGAAGCCAAAACACAGGATTATATAAAACTAACATATTTCAATGACTCAAATTACTTGCCTGTACTTGCTACAAACAAGGCTTTACAATTAATGATTCTCTATTTGCTCAAATTTTGAAGAAAAAAATAGAATTAAGAAGAAATAAGCTCTGAACACTTTGCCCTGTATTCAAACAAGGGAGAGCTATACGCAGATGCCCAAGCCTTAGAAACTAAATCAAAACAATCACTAACTTCTCTGAATTTTAAAAAAAAAAAGTGTCAGTTTTTTGTCCCAAAATGTAGGCAATCTATTTAGGCAGGAACTCAAAAATATAAGTGGTAGTTCTCCAAGGAGTCATGCCATGCAGATGTCGTCTGCACTCCTGAGAAAGGCTGCATTGGAAAGTAGCAAGAGCGATACAAGATGTAAGCTTGACTCTGTATGGCATGTAAAAGCTCCCGCAGAAATGAGAAGATAAAATGACTAAGTTCTTAAAGCTTTAGAGAGGGTAACATTTTTATCCATTAGAAGAATGTTCTATCATATGATAGTGCCATATAGTCAGATCCAGTATAGGGCACTATATCAAACCTGTCAGGGCTCTGCCATCTCAGGGACATGAAGGAGGAACACTGAGCACTCCTCATCACGTCCTTAAGACAGCTTTCACACAGGAGATGGTAGTGTTTGCCTAACATAATTACATGATTATATTCAAATGACCATTGATAGAGGTGTGGCTTCCTGGTTTAAACAATATCACCTCTTAGAAACTGAGAGTGGATAGAGATTGCTAAAAGTCAAACCTTAAATTTGCAGAAAAAGAAGTTACAAGCCCTGCTTGCTTGTGGACACTGTCAGCGCAGCACACTAACATGCATTTTTCTGTGGCTTTTTAGGAATTAGTAGTCTGATAAAGTCCACTAAGTGGAGACATTGTTTAGAGTAGTCAAAATTCTCAGTACAGATCAATACTGACACAAGAATATTTAATTACCTGTAATACCACAGAACTGTGAGTATTGCTGGTGAAAAATCTTGTGGTCCCTGCCTTCGAAGACTGTAGATGGGCAGAGACGCCCATATCGCTGCTACCAAGAGATATTTTCATATGAGGATCCTCCTCTTCCACGAGAGATCTAAGAAGATTAGAATAAAGAAACGTTAAGACCAAACTCAGATTCATTCAGAGTGCTCTTGTGTATCAAAACCGCAGTCTTCTGGGATGAAACTTAACAGCATAGACCTTATAGGTCAAAAATCAACAGGTGACAGAATCAGTCCTTAGTGATCCCCTTCATCTACTCTAAGAAAGTGAAGTGTTAACCGTCTCTACAACAGCCTAACTTCAATAACTTGATTTTCAGCTAATAAATTTTTCCTTTTCCTTCCACCCTCACCTCCCTGATTAAGACACTTGCACACTATTTTATTTCTGTGTGATGCTTGCAGTATTGTGGGATGCTTGCAAGGATTTCATCCAGTTTTCAAAATAAAGTATCTTAATAGACTGACAAGGAGAGCTAAGAGATTAAAACCCTAGTTTAATATTAAAGTTCTGTAACTGCATTCTTATGGCTTCCATTACCTCGCACAAGTATGAACATAATACAACTATACATAGTGGAGTTTCAAGCTGTAACTTTAAGCTACCTTTACAAATGCACAACTAGAACAACTCCTTTAGGACATGATATCCAGTATTCAGCTACTGCAGGCAACCACTTCAGAAATCTAATTTAAGATTTGTTACTGTGAAGTCAATACTTATGTTTTTGACTCCAAGCAATTACTGTCCAAATCTAGATTGGAAGGGCTAATTTTAGGTAGAACTGTTAAAGAATTACTGCAGTATATCATTAGCTTTCCATTTTAATCTTGATATGTAAATTAGGTTTACATAAAGAGATATGCATATGAGATTCTAACTACCCTAACCTATAATTATTATGAAATGCAAATAAATTTCACCTCCAGAAATATTAATAACTAGTTCCTGGAAATTCCATGATCTAATGTACTGCCTATTAGCATGCATAGCAGCATAATGCATATATACACAATATTAATTAGCAAACATAAGCTGTTAATCCAGTGATGAGAACATCTTCATTATTAATAAAGACTCCATGTTTCAAAAGATATTCATAGCAGTTTGACAGAACTGCTGCAAATCTCAGATACAAAGTTTTCCAAATTTTAAACATGCAGGTTAAAACATTGGCCTCCAAGCTAGTTTCAGAAATTACTTTAAATAAATGTCAAGAATGTGCTTAAATTCCATCACCCCACCTCACCCCAATATTGACTGCAATCACTATGTAAGGACAAATTTGGAATTTCTTGATGAAAAATAATTTTAATTTCCCGCCCCCCCAAAAAAAAGTTTTGTTTCCTTTTACTAAAATATTTACCCCCATCTTCTCTGGGTACATAGACTACTTAGAGCAGTTTCTGAAACTCATACGTTACCCTGATAGCACTGATGTGCCTTGTTCAAACCCATAAGAACATAAGGGCAACTATGAAGACATATTCAAAACAAATTCACCAATCAACAGCGTACATAGGTTTGAAACAGTGAGATTTTATGCACATAGATGTAACAACAGATTGTAGGAACAAGGGTACATCTAAATAGCTTTGACTTCTAATGTAGCAACCCAATATCCAGACATCTGAAAAAATTGGTAAGTGTGGACGTACTGCAGCATACAAGAATTGTGGCATTTTTGAAACAGAATTATCTCTTTTATAAAACAAATTCAGAGTGTAATCTGAGTAAAAATTTATAGGGTGTACCTTAGAAAAGTGCTCTCCAAACTATCTTTGGCAACCAACCATGTAACAGCAGCAAAGCAGTTGCTAGCTCATGACCCAAAATATTTTTTTGTTCACTTTGTTCTAGTGTGTTTTGGGTTTGGGGTTTTTTTTGCATGTGTTTTAGTTTTAATACAATCACATCACGAAAAGAGTCTAACATAATTTCAAAGGACATAATTTCAAAGTACACCCAGTCTCTAAATTTGTAGATGTACTTCTAAGAAGAAATATAAAATAACCTGGGGAGACTTGTAAGCGTGGGTGGGGAGAAACCGCAGATTCAGCTAGCACGAATTTTATTATTTGCTCTTGAAAGATCTTCATGAAATGTCAGATTGGATAGCCATTATATGAAGGGCTTTTAAAACACTTTTTCTAAACTCAGAAGAAAATAAAAGATGTACACATAAGTTAAAATCATTAGGAACAGAAACATACAAATAAACCAACTTTCTTGGCTGTTTGGAGTGGGCTTTTTACCATGTTTGCCACACCATGCTACTTTATTTCCTGACAGAGAGCATTCTTCCTAAGTTTTACAAGTGAAGGCAAAGACCTTGGCCACGATTCATTTATTCCATCAATGGCAGTGATAGTAGAAGCATTTTTCTGAACAGGCCACATTACATAAAACTTCCCAAGCTTTGTCCTAAGAGGTCCTCTATAGCACAACATGCCTTATTATAACTGCACAGCCAACAAGATGATACCATATATTTCCAAACACCTGAAATAATTAGAAGTAAGCATTTGACATGCCAAGTGTGGCTATAAGCAGTTATTTCCCTTACCTGATTTTCAATAAATAATGGTGAGTTGTCTAATACTTATATCACATAGACAAGCTCAGCAGCTCACAACTTGATGCTCTTCTGCAGAACAGATTTTCACTATTTCTCCTCCACATTTGCTGTTAGGTACGCACAGGAACTTGTGTATGCAGATTAGACATTAAAAATTGCAAATTTCCACATTATAAAAATTCACCAGAATATAAATGTTACAGTTCTAGTCTCAAACATTAACTTGGCTGCATATGACTCTACAAGAATGAATTTAGATAACCAGATTATATTATTCTTATACTGGTTTTTGCTTTATATCTAAACAACTATGACCAAACAAATTGTGGTTTTGTTTTCTGGTTTTGTTGTTTGTTGGTGGTTTGTTTTGTTTTTTAAATACACCACCATTTTTACCTACAGCTTAACAGTTTCAGAAGGCCAAGCGCCCTCTCCCATTATGCAGCAAGTGACAATTCGGGAGCTGGTTCTGGCAGAAGTTACAATGCAAGTCAGCAACATGACCTGGAGATAGTGCACTGATCCCCTGAAATCCAGCCTTGTGACACTCATCGAGAGGGAAAGAGCACTCCCAGAGCAACTAGAAATTATGATTTTGTCAATGGATTTGAAGCAGCTTCGGCATTTATCTTCACCCAACAACAGAAACCCGACTTTGTAAGACAAAGTGAAAACGCAACAGCTCTTATGCACTGTGTTGATACCAATTCACACAGAAACAAAAGCACTATATCATATACAATGAGAGCAATTTAAAACTACCCTGCAAAGAAATTTTAAACTACTCAGAATATAACTTCTGTTTGGGGGGTTGTAAAGTGAATATTCAGAAATAATTCTGCCATTCACACCCAGAACAGATGAGTAACATGCTTTATATCCGAACGAATTCCCAACAAAAACACATTAAGTGCATCTGTCTTGTTTGGACACTTACCAAAGGCATTATTTACATTCATTAACACAGGTCTGCTAAGCACTATAATTAATTAGATAATAATGAATGTAAACATATTGATTTTTTTACTTTATTGTAAGTGCAATATATCACAATTAAGCATACCACGAAAGAAGAAAGCTAATTCATTTTCTAATTAATTTTATTGCTCTAATCAACAGAAATCATTAAACAAGTAGTACAGCAGTAGCATTTTTAACCAGGGTTTAAAAAAAAACCAAAAAACAAAAAACGAACAACACCAGTTGGGAGGAGGTGACTAAAACTACAATAACATATAGTGATAATTCACAACAAGTCGCTCTAAATGTAGATATTAACACCACTTTCAATGCATACACTTGGTCTGGAGGGGGTTGAACATTATAGTGTTAAGAATAAGGGAATGTTGGCATTTAATGTGAAACGAGTATTAACACTGCAATAGCATGGCAGAGAAGCTGCCTGACTCTTTCTGTAACCTCTGGGAAGCAGTGGTTCAGAGTTCAGAGAAAGGCACTGGAGGTTAATTAGTTGCTATCAGAGAGTAAGCTGTCAGTCAGAATTTTCTTTCTAACCTTATGTTGATTCTTTAAGGTACAGCATAGTTTTTTCCTAGCTACTGTAACCAAAAGTGCTTTTCTCATGATTCCAAGTTAATCCTCCAAGTACTTCCAACTGGTATTTTTGCAGCAATGAAATATGAAGTGTGCATTATATGGATACTAATTATATATCTTAACTGCCTAACTTACTGTCAATTTTGAAGGAAGATATACTTATTTTTTTAACGGTAAAAAACAAAGTTAAGTTTTCTTGTTGTAGATGACTGCCTACTAGATTCGCTTTCATTTATTTTCTCTCTAAAGATATTATTTTTAATCTTGTTCACCTACTAAAAGGTACCTGAACACCCTCTTTGACAATCTATTCAATCAGGAATTACTTTAGAAATAGATAGAAACCGTAAACCAAGTGTTGAGCTATGTAGAAAACACCCACAACAATAGCTTGGAAACTCTTGAACTAATGTGAATAAGCTACACTGACTTTTGGGTTTGCGTTTGTGGGTATTTGGGTGTTGTTTTTTTCTCATAGCACAGGCAAAGGAGAACCATAGCTAAACACCACCCTAGTTGAAAAAATAAAGTTCAAATGGAACAATTCAGTAGTACTATTTAGTATTTCGGTGATCTGAAAGATACAGATTCAGTGGCTCTTAAGGTATACAATTCCCTGAATCTTGCCACAACACAGAGCAAAATAAGCGGGGTAACAACAAGAACATTTGACTTCTGTTAATGAAAAAGCAACTGGAAGGTGGAAGCCATCTCAATGAGTCTTCATGAGTTTCTAGGTTTAACTGCTAGCACCTGCACATAGAGAAGTGTCATGAGTAAACACGTACACTAGCACAAACATTAGGGAGCTTAGTATTTCAGAAGAATACTAAATAGGCGGTTTGAAAACGCACAGACTGGCCTAAGTATTTACAGGACTTCTGTCCATTACTGCTCCCAATTCTGTATGCAATCTCTCTAGATTAAATGCAGTGAATTAAGAAACTGTGAACTGA